ACACTACGTACAGGGCATGCAGGCCTATTACGTATGGTCCCAGTGGTCCCAGAACCCCTGGGCTGTCGATGCCTGATGATGTTTTAGGTGTACCAACACTATGGTGTATCAGGGCTCACATTGACTCAGAACTGCAGTGTGTCACTTCTCTGGGTGTAACTATTATACCTGAAGCAATGGGTTGCTTATATTTTATTATTGTTAATGTACAATTTCCCACTTTTCAAAACATTTGATCCAAACAAAGTACATTCATGGCTAAATTTGGCCTGTGGTTGCTACTTTTCAACCTCTGTGAGAGTTTCAGGGTTGGGATAGATGAGTTTCATTACCACCAAGCAGATGTCTCAAGGTTCAATCTGCTAAGCCTCGAGGTGACCCAGTCACCTCCATAGACCCTGATTCAGTAGGCACTTCAAGTTTGAAATGTTATTTCTTCTCTGCTCTAGGCCTCCTTTAGCTGCCTCCCTCAGCAGAGAAAGATGACTTTTCACTCTAATTCTAGGATAAGGCCACCACTGAGTGCCCGCTGAAGGTACAGGGACCCTGTAGTCCAGGCAGTCATTGTGCAGTCTGCCCGGGCAGGGTCCCCAGGTGGACAGGCCGTGGGGAATTGTACTGGCAGCATCCTTCAGGAGGGTCAGATTCTCACAGGTGTGTGGGCACCTTGCCGACAGCTAACTGGAGAAAATGCCAAAACCACTGGTCACTTGATTTGATTCTGCCCAACTGATTATTGTAATTGTGTGACAGACTGATATTTCCCTCTCCTTTTCAACTGGTGTCAGAGCATGAGTGGATCTGGCTCATGCTCACCCTTCTGGGTAGTTATCTCATGGGAAAGATTATCTCCTTTCACAGGCAGAACTGTTCCTGCCTTTTGGCTGCCTAAAGAATAAAACCAGGTCCAACCGAAGTCAAATGCCAGGAAATTTCGGAACTTCCTCACATTCCATATGCATTGTCTACAAAGGTCTTTGAAATTTTCCCTGCTCTAAAACTCAAAGGGGCTACAGAGTCGAAGAATAAAATAGAAGAGAACCAATTGCAATAGGGGGAAAGGAAGAAAGAAATAAAGAAGGGAAGACAATGGGAAAATGTCACAACTTCTCATTTTGAGAAGCTTGAAGCAAATAATTTGAAATAAGGAGAATAGTTTTGTTTTGATGGAGCTGCTATACTGAAGTTCTTTAAAATATGAGCTGTAGATTCAGAATGTTGTAATGCTGTGGATGGAGCCCTCTTCTGGAGAAATTTTTCAGCAGGTATTAAAAGAAGTTCAAAACATACATAGATGTACACACACACACACACAGAATATTGTCTATTTAGATGATATAACTGTCAATTAGGTGTGACTTCAATCCACAGGTTGTCCTTTTCCTTATATTCCTCTAAATTGAAATTAATTGGACTCCCCAAGCAACTGCATTTTTGGAAGGAAAGAAGGAAGGATATTCTCAACAACCGAGCTATACTTTAACCTAAACAGTGGACTTCAGATTGAGATTCAATTTACACATCCAAATGCTGGCACTTTTAGATAATGCAGTTATTGGGTACATTGGTTTGTTGGACAATTTCACTGTACTACATAGAGGATGCTTATAGAAGGAAATAGATTTTAGTTAATGGAAAACCCAAGGGCTAAAGATAGAAAAGGGGAGAAGGGAGGGAGGCAGAGTAGGAGAGATCAGCTAAGATGACTGTTGGGGCTTTTAATATAGACTGTGGAATTACATAAATTCCACATCCCATATTCAGCTTTATAGTTTATTAAATCTCTTTTGGGACTTACTGAAAAAAAAAAAAACAACTGTTCAGACAGGTGAAGTCTACCCCTTTGATTCCTTTCACCACTTGTATCTGTTTCCCAAGTGCTTTTGAAATCTTAAAGGCTGCCATGTGCTGACCCATGGTGGAGTGGAGGGTGCATTCTACAACTCGGAGTCTTTTCTCCTCATCAGTAAGGGTCTGCAAATACCGCTCTTGAAACATAAGAATTTGTGGGAGCACTAGAAGACAGTGATTCTCATTTAAAATCCTGAAAATCAATATTCCAACTCTAAGAGAGAACTCCCCACTTTAAATCAAAATCTCAGAATTCCATGGAACATTTTTAGTCACTCCCAAGTGACTGCTCTCCAAGCCTGAACCACTCCCTAAAATCCTAATTCTTGGGGGATTACTGGTTCATTGTTGGAAGTTTTGGTTAGTCATAAGTGCTACCCAGATAGGTGGAGAATCATATTTACAGTGGAATTTCTAGCTCATGTTTCTCTTGATTTGTTTCACATTCATTATTTGTTGTAGCCAAATTCCAGAGGCCACTTCTGGGATAGACTTTCCCAAAACACCCGAGGGGAAAGGAGAGGTGCCTGTTCAACTTTGCCAGCTTCCAGCCATTGTTGCTTAGAATTCCTTGTCTCCTACCAAAATACCTAAAATGGCAACAGAGCCAATGAGCTTACAGAGATTGATGGCTTCCAAAGCCAGACCCAGAGCATTACAACTGTGGTGGAAAAAAACACAGGCTTGTCTGAGCACCACCAGGGCCTAGTGACTAATTTGCTTTATTACATTGTTTTTCCCTTTCTTCTGTTTTCTCTCTGCCTCAGGAAAGTTTTGTTTTTGCTTGTTGGCTCAAAGGCTCCAAGACTTTTGCCACTTTTTTTCTATGGCACACAGAGCTCTGCACTTGAACCTATTGCTGGTTAACTCGATTGCCTTGAAATGATTTTTCTGTGAGGTACTATTGCTACCAGGATATCAATTACTACCCTAATGTGGACATTTGCTCTGATTATGCATAACAATTGAATAGAGAAATAAGCCTCTCAGGGCAAGCAATTCGATTCACAGTAAAAACTCTACTCCCCTCTTCTAAATAGAATGAACCTTCAGAACCAGACACCCTGGGTGAGGAGACACCAGTTGCTTTGCCAAAGGTACCATGAGCAAAGCCCTCTAGTCCATGAAGATCGCAGGGCACTGTAATGTGGTCTGTTTTGCTCTAAAGAAGGCATCACTTTGGGCAAGCCCTGGAATCTGAGCCGAGGCTGAAGCATGCTGAGAGGAGGAGGCCTATAAAGTCCTGGATAAGGCAATGGGAAGTGCTTCCAGACACAGACAGCCCCCAGGGTGGCACACCCTGTGTCAATGCATTACCTAGGGCATCCTGTTGAATGCAATCTTCCCCACCCAGCAGTCCTAAGAAGGGTGGTAGATTATTTTACAGTGGAGAACCTGAAAGTTCAAAGAGGTTAAGCAACTTGCCAAGGGGGTACCACTAGTGTATGGCAGAAAGGATCTGTCTGAATCCTTTTTGTCTGAGGCATGCTCTGAACCACCTTGCTAAATTGCGATATATGTACACACAAACAGCCTTAGGGATAGAGCGCAGGAAATCTGGAAAACTGGTTCACAGCCAAGCATAGGATCCATGGCAGGACTCAAGGATGTAGAAAACCCAAGATAATCAACGAGCAAAGCCCTGTACAAGAGGAGCTGGTACTGGGCAGTCCTTAATAGGGGTTGTGCATCCAGGGAAGAAAGAAGTCAGGGGTAGGCAAGTGGTCTCACACCTTAATCTGCCCCTGGAGCTATCACCTACCCCCTTCTTTGAGTCATCCCATGGTCACTGCATTTCTGAGTTGCTGGCCCATTTCCAAAGTCTAACCCCAACATTGATCCAGCACAGGTCTCCCCTTAGAAGGCTGCACCGTATCTGCTGATCCCAGCCAGTCCCTGCCTGGGACCCTAACTGCCTTCCCCTTCCTCTCACCCACAAGTTCACACCTGTGTCTCTTTCCCTGGCACCCAGGAGTCCTGGCCAGGAACTCAACACCCATTCCTAGCTACTCCCTGTCCCTTTCCCTACTGTCTGCCTGGCCCTCCCCTGCTCTTATCCACCCACTTGTAGCCTACCAGCTCACTCCAAGTCGCAGAGGCTGCCAAGGAGGCCTTGGGGTCTGGGTCAGGGAGCTCTCATAAACCACCCAGAGCAGGGCAAGGTGTGCCCCTCAGTCGCCAGCACCTCAGGCCTAGCCTCGGAGCACTGCTTTCCTGCATGCAAACTTCCAGAGATCTAGCTGCAGAGGTGATCGCTGGAGGACCGCGGCTCCTTCACCTCCCTCTCCTGGTTGGCTGGTCCTTCCCTCGCGCAGCAGCGCTCCTAGGGTTAACAGGCAGCTGCAGCCCGGGTGGGCAAGGCTTGAACTTTTCTCTGCGCTCCGCTCCCGCCCAAGGAAGGCAGCAGAGGCAGCAGCCCGGGCTCGGGCCGGAGCTCCAGCTGGCTGGACAATGGGTGCGCGGGGGGCTGGGGGTTGGGGCCTGCGCCCTGGCAGGGGACGCGCTCCAGCCCTTCTGGGCCCGGGGTTTGGGAGGGAAAGGACCCTGATGCGGGCGCGGCCGGCGCCAGCGCCTTTGAGCGACAGCAGCAGCCGGGCTGCGGCTCTCCGCCGGCCCGCGGCGCCTTCCAGCGCTCCGCCGGGCTGGGCACGGGGGCCCGGGCGCCCCGGGAAGTCAGCGATGCCAGCTCGGCCTCTCTAGCCCCGCAGCCCGCAATCCAGACCCGAGCAGCGCTTCCGCTGCTGAACGCTGGGTTGGAGTAACCGCTACTCGTTGGAGTCGCCTCCAACTGAGTCTTTCTCCGATGCACCGAGCCTCTGGAGGAGGCGAACCAAAGTTACCCCACTTGATGTAGGCGAGAATGTCGCCCCAGCTTGCAAAAAAAGGACTAGGAATCTCTCTCCTCCTCCCCCGAACGTACACACACACACACACACACACACACACACGCAAGCCAGAGTGGGAAGGTGGGAAGCCAGGGTCCCCAAGGATCTCTGCGCTGGCAATGACCTCTCTGCCGAGCCCCGGTCTGTCTTCGCCGCCGCGCCCGGAGCCCCCCATCCCCCGAAACCCCCCTCGCCCAGCCGATGCCGGGCGACAGGAATGCAGAAACGGGGCGCGGAGCGCGCCCGGCAGCCCCTCTTCCCTACCTGGGACAGGAGAACGCACACAAGGAGCGGAGTTCTCGGCTGCATTTTGCCCGACTAGAAGCGCCCGGCGGCGTTTTCATTCATGCACGCGGCTGCACTGAGCATATTTTCCGTGGGAGCCAGGCTTTGAGGAGAGGCTCTGCCTCGCCAGCCAGCCAACTTCCCAAATAGATCAGCAGCAGCATCACGAAAGCATTGGGTAGAGGCTGATGACCAGGACCAATGGCTTTACAAGACGGATTCCTTCATAAAGCTCCCTCGTTTTGCATGGCAGATACGGGGTGAGCACCTCGAGAAGAGCGAGCCCCGAGGAGGTGGCAGCCCATTTGCTTCTTTGGACTGTTGGGGCCCAGCCTCACAAATCACGCTGGGCAATGCCAGCCGATTCCACTTTTCCAGAGAATGGAATTACACCGGGGACTGGCGGCCACTTCCAGCCTAGTGCAAAAAGATTCTCTTTATTAAAATGTTAATAAGATCCACTTTATTTCCAATAAATCAAATAAAATGACCCCCGCAGTTCCAGCCCTTTCTACGCCTGAAAAGACTTGGCAGTGTTTTGGTTTTTTTTCTTTTTTTCTTTTTTTTCCCCCCAATGTGGCCCAAGTCATGATGGGGTTTGGTGTTTCCCTGCCATCTCACAAATCACAAAGGAGACAGATCAATTCTAGCTTGGAGGGAAAAAAAATCCATCAAGGGGCAATAGATTTTATTAACTGCTCAGGTGAAAGTCTGACTGGCCACCTACTCCACAAATGTGCATCTGGCACCAAAGCTGAGACCTTGATTTGAGGAAACCTTTTTTTCTATGTAGATGTGACCTTTCAGAAGCTCTGATCTACTCCTAGGGACTCAGAACATTGGAAACCACTGCTCAAGGGATTTTATAAGTGGGGTGCTTTGGGAATGAGGGTGAGAGGGACATGTAGGTCTGCCTTTCCTAGTAGGAATCTAGGAATATGCAGTAAAGACCTTATTTTATCATTTTCATGCAGCCGCCTTCTAAAAAGGTTTTAAGGGATTTTACAATAAAGAATGTTTTTGCGATAGAATTTATGTAACCAAAATAGAAAATCTGGGCCAGAAGGAAAAGTTCAGAAAACTAAAATGCTAAGCCCAAACCCTAATATATTTGCTCTGATCTGGATGAGCTTCCTGATGGCCAAAGCAATAAGAGAAACATAAGTTCAATAAGTTACATAGTTCTTGTTATAGAAACATGTATACAATGTTTTTCAGCATAATTTCCCGTGATGCTATATACTGGAAAAAATGTATTATGTGACATCTAATACAGTAGGACACTGAGCAATGGACCATGCAGAGATCCAGTAGATTGGGATATATTCCCAGTATCTGGCACAGGGCCTGAAACATGGAGACATTGATTAGTGTGTGTTAAAGAATGGCTAGTGGTTAATAGATGGCTAGACTTATTCAAGACATAGCAGAAGATGGGGAGGGGCAAAGGGTCTAGAGCCACACTGCCTAGGCATAACCCCCAGATCCGATACTTACTAGTAAGTGACTCAAACTCTCTGTGCCTCCATTTGTCCACTAGTAAAATGAAAATACAAATTGTACTGAACTCATAAGTTTGTGGTGAGGATTAAGTGACAAAATAACCAATCAATAAATTTAAACTGATATGTATTTAAAGATTTCTTCATTGTCTGCTATTTGGTCCCAAGGTCATCTCACGTTGTCCCAAGGTCATTGATAAAGATGCAATGCTGTTTGATATTTGGCTGCTTTAGCCAGCACTGGCCCAACAGATGGCAATGTTGGTAAAACAACCTACAGAAGAAACTGTGAAAGGTGAATCTTGCTGCTTCATCCAGTCTTTTCCTTGCCTAAGTAGGGCCATCTGCCCCACCCCCAAGCTCCTGAAAAATACAGTCTTTGACAGATGATGTCTCAGATGATGACAATTTGAAACCCATGTGTGTGGAGACCTGTACTCATGTTGTCCACTGGTAAGCATAAAGCAGGGTACTTTGGAGTCAAACAGGCTTCAAATCAAGGCATCCTAAAATATCTTAATTTTTCTCCATCCCAAGGAAGGAGTCATCCTGTCAATCAGGGGCCAGCTATACTGGGCCCATGGACTGGCAGACACAAAGATGAAGAGAGAGAGCAGAGGACAGCTTGGGAGTTGATAAACCATGATGAGGGGCACAGACAGCAGAAGATGAGGGTCTAGCTAGGTTTCCACAAGCAGCAGCTGAGTCAAGGGAAGCACCCTCAGAGTACAGAGTGTCCATGGCTGCATTCAAAGGACAAGGCAGTATTGTGCATTTTATAGTTCTGCTGGCCCTTCTGTGCTCTCTCCACTCCATTGTCCTTAGTGCCACACTCAAACTATTTCCAGTTTCCCTCCTTCTGGGCATATGGCAGGGTTGTATTTGCTGGCCTTCTTGTGGTTGTGGTGGGGCAGTGTAACCAGATCTAGCCAATGAGCTATGAGCAAAAGTGATATGTCACTCCCAAGGCTGGAGCATTTAATTGCCAGTGTCAGACAGGTTGGTTTCCCTAGCTGTGTCTTTTACTCCCAATGGGCCAGTTGTTAGATATTCCCCCTCACAAAGGGGGAATAATTTTGGCTGAGGCAGCTTGGTTTGGCCAAGGGCAATTCTCTAGTCTGACCTCAAATTTATCATCTATATATAAAACTAGGGCATTGGAAGTAAAACAGGTAAACAGAGGTTGTAATTACCAGGCCATGGGTGACCTCATGAGTCTGATGGCACCAGGAAAGACAGATGTAGATATGCCTGGCTGACATCCTGCTGACTCTGTCCCATGCCAGGTCCTGCTCACGCCTTCACTAAGGTCCTGGGCTGTTCTACTGGCAGGCAGAATATCTCAGCCAACCTTATCTGATCCCAGGTGGGTATGCATTAAGGGCCTGTCCCCATCACTTTCTTGCCTCAGTCCCCACAGGCAGGCTATTTAGGGCTGAAGGAGTTGGCTTTAGAAGTCTTCTTAGGCCTTGAGGCTCACCTCTGTAAACCCGTAGAAGTCTCCAGCACTCTGAACTTAGTAAGGTGGAATGAGATTTGACAGCAAGATGAGACTTGGATTGGGATCTCCAGATTCTACTTATATTGAGCAAGTTGCTTTTACTCCCGTAGCCTCAGTTTCTGATCAATAAAATGGGCATAATAACATGATATACTCCAAAGGCTGTTGTAAAAATTGGCATTGCTTTCCCCAGTACCTACTACTCTCCTCTGCTCTCACAGAATGTGCATTTCACCAAAGGACATGAGATCAGTTTTGTTCAACAAAGACAGGAGAAAAATTATTTCATTCCAACAATAACAGGCCTCTGAAGAAGAAATCCATTTTTGTTTGTTTGTTTTGCCTTGCTTTTCCTTCATTCCCTAATGGAGGTCTTCTGGTTGATAGATTGATTGATGGTGGCAAATATAAATACTGAAGCTCAAAGACACCCTCTACCTGTCCCTGCTCCACCTCCCCCGACACCAGCCCCTGACCAGGCTCCAGCTGCTATAGCAGCTGTGGGCTCCCAAGAAGCTGTGCCGGCCTTTAGACACATTTGAAGTGCACACCCCTTTTCCACACTCATCGGCCTGGCTTTGGAGCTGCCAAAGTGATCCTACAGCCAGCAGCTGCCTCCTGTGGGTGCTGGGAGTTGCAATTGTTTCCTCTGCCTGGCTGATGTTGATGAAGACATTCCAGAGCATGTGGGGGTGGCTGTGTGAGGGTGTGTATGTGCCTGGGTGTGTGTGTACAAGTACATGGAGAGGGGGCAACTGGTGTATGCTCCAGCAGACATAAATTATTCACATTTGGCTACACTTTGAATGTGCTGCTTGTGATAAGGTACTTGTTTGTATTGAGCAGTGACAAACCAGACATGACCCTTAGGAGACAGAACAGCTACCAGGTATGCCTGGAGCCCTAGATAATGGGGATATACTTAGACAGCATGGAGGGAAGCCCAAACCATATAGCATTCCAACATACCTTAATGCTAACGGGACACCCCTCATGGTGCAAAAGCCTGCTAAAAAATATCCACGATTATGACAATATACCATCCTATAAGGAGTCTCCTTGACTACCGAAATGATGATTAAAGGTAGCATCACTGATCGCTTTTTTTTTTTAAGACAGGGTCTCACTCTGTCACCCAGACTGCAGTGTCATGACACAAACACAGCTCACTGCAACCTCCAACTCCCAAGCTCAGCCCATCCTCCTGACTGAGCTTTCCAAGTAGCTGGGACTACAGGCATGTGCCACCACACCCAGCTAATTTTTAATTATTTTTTTATTTTTTGTAGAGACAGGATCTCACTATGTTCCCGAGGCTGACCTCAAACTCCCAGTCTCCCGCAAGCCTCCCGCCTTGGCCTCCCAAACATAATGGGATTACAGGCATGAGCCACCACACCTGCCCTTGATCACTCTTAAGCCACTAACCTGACTTCATATTTTTTCACAGTCCTCTATGTTACTTGAGCTTATACTATATGTTGTTGCTTGCATTATTTTCTCAATTCTTCACTCCAACTTGTAACTATATCCTTTGACCCTTGGGCTTGGGTTTGGCCATGTGACTTGTGTGACCAATGAAATGAAACAAGTGATAGGGTGTCAGTTATAAGCCCAGGTCCCAAGAGACCCCACATGTTTCAGTTTGCTTTAGCCAGGACCTCTAGCAATGCCATTAAAAGAGCACTCGTGTGCTAGCTCGCTGGTCTAGGAGGGGAGATGAGGCCCACTATGGACCCACTGATGCTCGAGCAAGGTCAGCAGATCCCCGCCCAGATCAGCCAATCCACAGGTATGTGAGCTAAAAGTAAATAATTGCTCTAAATCTAGAGGTGGCTCGTTTTACAGCAACAGCTACCCAGTGATTACACTGATTGGCTTGCTGTCTGTGTCTTCCTCTGCAATACAGGCTCATTTCTGTCTTTTTGCTTCTGTGTGCTCAGCTTCTAGAACAGGATCTGGAGCATGACAGGTGCTTAAAAGACTTGTGTTGAGAGGGTGAATTAAATGGCTTCTGTGTTGAAAAACCTGTGATGCTGAGATGCCCGTCACATTTAGCTTACTAAAATGCAAGATCTTCTCACAATAGTCTAGACCAGCTTTAGACACAGTAAAGAACATTCCACAGAGGATAGTGTGAGCAA